CCAATCAAAACAGAAAAATTTGAAGGAGAATTGACACAAATTCACACTATTCAATATTCTGTTAGGCTGTACCGAACCGGCTTCGTTTCAAGGATAGAAAAGGATCGGGCGAAGGATGCATCCAGAATAGTCGGATCGAGCTGAAATGGCCTATATTTGGACTATCGGAGGAGTGAACTAAACGCCAGTTGCAGCTGGGTACAGCCTCGTCATAACGCATCATACCAATTCCCTGCATGCAAAAGTACTGACATCTGCGTGTTGTTCAGCATTCATCATGCACTGGCTAAACACGACCGGTGAATGGCATTACGGTGAATGCTTTGCTGTTGAACACTGCCACCACCATTGTCTCATTCGGTGGGCCTCGCGTGTCTGCAGCACACCCAACACAGGAGGCCCACCGAATGCTCACGCGTCCACACGCTAGCGGACGACATGAACTGTCAATGTAACCGCGGCACGGAAGTAAGTTGCAGTTGAAAACAGCTTACTGTTGTGCCGATATCGCAGCGGAATGTTGAAGCTAAAACCAAGCAGCATTTCAGGTTACTTGCACCCACCGCAAGCCTGCGATGTGTCGCTTTTTCACCCACGCTTTGTGGTTAGTTCCGTTCAGGTTAAGTTCAGTGGATTATTAGCTCAGCCTTTAGCTCAGGCGTTAACAAATGCACCACACATGTCACAGACGCTAATGGTCCTGGATATTTCACGCATTGCGAAAGGGAATGCGTCACCTTTGTGTGCTATTCGCTTATTCTTAGATCAAATGCGTCTGATTTGATCGGTAGTACCAGCTTTTTCAAATCCTATTGACTAGCTCAGAATTTCGGTTTGAAGTAGACGCTTCGGCGGAGAGACATCATTGGACTCCGTGCTCATGACACTTTAAAATGATTATTTTTCATTGTCTTGTGCGTTTTCGAACGTGTGTGTTCTGTAATGTTTGCGATACACTGAAGGGTCAATTTGCTTCTGCAATAACGCTATGACAGCTTGGAACACTTTATCCGAAGAAAACAGATACCAACAAGAGGCCATTATCACGCGAGTTCAACAAGACGTCATATCATGGCGTCGATTTCTCCCCCGAATTCAACGGAGCGTCATACCAAAACACTGATTTATTTCATGGCGTGCCGCAGAGTGGCTCTTTTCCGGCGCACTTTGGCTTGTGGAGTTCAAAATATCACATGGTCTCTGGTAACACTTTGTTCAAATTTCAACCAGTCCGCTTCTCGCCAAATGGCCTTCGCCGCCCGCTGTGCAAATCAAAGGGGTCCTTTGAATTAGCACCAGTCATACCAAACGAGATGCCATTTTATGTCAAAAGGCCCGCAACGTGCGGGTGAAAGCAGCTCAGAAGTGGTATATCTAGTCCGTAGCAGGTGACGACGGTCCTCAGTAGATTGGATTCCCTTGTTGGCAGTTGTTTCGGACGGGGGCTATACTCTGGGGCTACAAAGCAAGTCAAAGTTAAATGCGCTAACAACACGCTGGCAGCATAAGTTGAACTGGAAATAACTCACATGAATTTCCTCATTATTTTTTGCTGGTACTGCAGGGACACTATCCAGCGTTATTCTTAGACGTTATTGGTCCTATGATATCACCTGAGCCTGATTTCAAAATGTGTCCCGAATGCAGGACACTCCCTTCAAAGTACCGACAAATCAACCCGTGGATTGGTCTCCTCCAATCTTCAGAGCCGTGCGTGCTGCGACCGTGGCGTGTGAGGGATTGTACAGTATGTGGCTGGCTGAGACCTACACAGACACTTGCTCATTAGTGGGTGTGGCCTGAGACATGTCAGCCAAGCCTACGGCGCAGGTCTTGTGCGCATGGGCATCATGCTCTTATCTCAAGACCTGGACGTTGCATGGCAACGAAGCGGTCGACGTTAGATAAGTATAATCAAGCTTCATGGCATATTGATCCGAGGAGACACTGCTAGAATCCCCAAACGAAGAGAAAAAGCAATGAAAGCACAGGGAGAGAGATTCGTTACCCGCGTCCCCAACGTCCGCACAGCATTTTGTGTCATGACATCAGTACTATGGCAAGAACTCCTACCGACAGCAGTACTACAATGCTTATACACGTCACTGCTTCTGCAAAATTTAAAGACTTGATTTATGCGCGAAATTGTTTCTACGGAAAATACTTATGCATGAAATAAGTACTACACGACAAAATGCTTAATTTAAAAGCATATAGCCGTCATTAGATCTATTCCAAAAATTATACAGCCTCAGCTTAGGCGCGAAATTACTTCTCCTCAAAAGCGCATACACGACATGAGTGCCACAAGACAAATTTCATGACGCCAGAACTAAAAAAAAAACACCATGACTTTTACAGCAAAAATTAATGCAGTACTTGTGTTATACGCAAAATTACCTCCACTGCAAAAAATTATGCACGACACGAACGGTGCACGACAACACTTATACCGCAAACCATATACCAGTAATTATTTATACAGCAAGGTCTTTAACAGTCCTTACTTATACGCAACATTACTTCTGCTGCAATGCGTTATGTGTGACATTAGTGCTACAGGACAAGACTTGAGAAGTAATGAAAACCTTTTATTTCAAAAACGTACGCAAGTCATCATGTCGACTGAAAAAGCCTGCATAGTCTTCACTTATCAGCGATCCTGCTTCTTCGGCCAACACCTCTAGTCGACATTTGTGCAATATGACAAAGACTATACTCCACAAAGTATAACCGCCAGTACCTCAACCTATAGGTCAAGCCTAACCAAAATCTCGGAGGGAACAAAACAGGAAAACACTCGGACGGGTGAAATCAGACTGAAGGTCCCCACTCCATGGCGTCGCTACAATATTACTGTCAGAAATCTTGCAATCTACATAACCACGATGGTAATAATTTTACGTGCATTTCCTTTATTGAAAACTGTATGGTGCATTGCTGAAGTGATGCAAAATAAGCTCGGGGGACGAGCAGAGAAAGCGGGCAACTTGCCCAAAATGCACGAAATACGGTGTTTGCCCCGAATGTGGCACATCTCCCAAACTTCGATGAGGGCTGGACCGGGTCCCCGACTGAGTATGAAACACCAGTTGTCTGGGGTTCACTGAAACGCGACAGCACTTCTAGTACAGTGACTATGAGGCTCCAATACTACACGACAAAAGCAATACTTCAAAAACAAATTTCCCCTTCATTGAGCTTTTACTTCCAGAGCTACAGCCTTTGCTCATACGCGAAGCACGACAATTAGACGAAATAACTTAGCATAATGAAACAATACATTTTCGTATCGGCAACGCACTTTTAATTGCAGCGTTGCCCAGTTGTTGTTTCCTCCAAATCTGCGAATTAATCCTACGCCACTGCTAGGTGTCCACGCATTTTGCACACCTCGGCAAGCATTGTCAGCAGGAGAAATGTTGTGTATACCGAAGGACTATGAGTCTTGGCAGTAAAAGTTATGAAAATTATAAGATTTTAATATACATGATTCGTCCCGTAGCAAAAATGTTACGCATAAGCCTGTGCAGGAGGAGAAATGCTCCTTGTGAGTAACGACTGTAAAAGGTTTTGCAGTGAAGGATATGGCAGGGTTAAGTTTGTGAAGCATAAGTTTTGAGATGTAAGGTCCTGGAACTGCACTCAGGAGGTGTTCCAATCTTATGCAGAAGACCTGTTACTGTGTTCCAATTTTCGCTATGATGTAGAGAGGCCAAAAGATCCTGCATTATCTTTCAAAGGATCCTAAGATCCTTCATTATCTCCTCACTATGCTCGTACCCGTTAGTGTTTACCTCTACCTGCTTAATGACTGCGCTGGCCTGGTTTTTTCGCTGATGGCCTGTGCTCCCACTGACGACAGGTTCTTGACCTTGGCTGTAGGCTTAGGTAAATATCTCTTTCCTTTCCCACGTTTTTAGAAGAGCCTACCTAAATGTTTCACTCGTGAGTCCCGTACTACCACAGCCCTGCTTCGTCATGACTGCTTCTCTGTCCTATCTTACCCATGGGATCATCCAGCAGTGCCTCAAAACTAGTCCTGGTAGGCGCAGCCGCATTTTTCCATTTATACTGTAGGCCTTAATCCCTTCCATACCGCATGCCATCCTTCACCCTTGCGAGTAGAGCCCCTCTTCCTTCCAACATCCTGACCTACATCTGGCCTACCCTTATCATGCCTGTCTCACCTATCCTTATCTAACCTTACTTTAATGTTCCTGGAGTTCCTCACAGACGGCTAAAACCCCAATATTCAGCTCACCACACTCAGTTGACTGTTTGGCCATCCCCTCAGCCTTAATAAACTCTAAACAATCCTGCCTATCTTTAAAAACCTGTACCATTTCCTCCAGAGCTGTAATTTTGCTCCTAAGTTTTCGACACACACTCCGCACCTTTCCTAGCTCCTCCTTTAGACTAAAGATCTCCTGACTGACGAATTCACACATGCATTCACACTCCATAACCCTAATCGTGATAGTACTCATTCTTTGTGTTTTTGTTTGTTTGTTTGTTTCGCCTGTTATAATATTTTACTGCCTTAAACTACGTTACAAACTATTTCTTAAACTACTCAGACTCCTCTTTGACAAACTGGTCGCAACTCAAATTTAAAATAATCTTACCCTTTATTCTGCTAGCTCTGAAACGCCATGACCTACCTATGGCTGGACACAGAATAGCTATATGCTTAAGATATGTTTCGTAACGTCTCCATGGTTCCACAGAGAGTGGAAAGCCTTATAAATTCTGGTGCTGAGAATTTCGGCACGTGCGATCAGCACTTCTACCACGACTATCAGTAAATCCCAAGGGTCCCTCGGGGCATGCCCATCCATTGAAGGCTAGTTATAATGTCCACCCACTTCTCAAGAAAATAAAATGAACCCTGCTGTCGTTTACAACAGACACGAGTCTTCGGGCCTCTTCCATCCCGAGACACCCGGCAGGACCCTGACATTTCGTCCAGCGTGCCTGCCAGTCCAACGGATTCTTACCTTGCTGACGAGCCTGCCGATGAGGCCGGTGAAGGTGCCGTTCTCCAACTGGATGCCAAAGTCCCCCGGAGTGTTGTCCGTGTCGTACACCACGGAGACACCGATCGCGGCCGACAGTACTTGCATCAGGTCGGCCAAGAAGCCGGTCACGTGGTTCGGCCGCGCCGGGTCCACCAGCGTATACGGCGGGTACTGTCAGATCAGGACAATACACCTGAAGTTGGAGTACTAAGGACAGGGGCAAACGAAATGTACCGTAGCGCAATCAGTGTCGGGGCTCAGTTCATGCCAGGGTCGATTGACGTAGTGTGTCCAAAATGTTCCTTTTCCGTGGCCGTTTGGCCTGTCATTGAGAGCAAATTAACAATTCGTTTTTTGCAATGTCGTCTTCATATTTTATAAAGCTTCTGATAAAAGAAATTGGTAAAGTCAGTGGCTTGTCTCCCCCCCCCACCCCAAAAAAAACAACGAAAAGTTGCAAATTTCCGGTGTGTTTCGGGGGCAGAAAGGTGCTTCATCTGTGCAGAAAACGTTTAGCAGGAAATTGAAAATCAGTAACAAAAAGTTTCCGAAATAGTTGTATCTCAAACCAGCATTTTAAAGAAGAAATGGGTTTTCTGGCGGCTTTGACACCCGGCGCTCTTTGTGCAATCTTTCAAAATTTTGCCGCTATTTTGTTGCAACGGCACTATAATTGCATTATCGCCAAAAGGCATGACACAATGCCGAAGGATATATCATATTAATTTGACGCAGTCGTTTCGTATTGCGAAGTAAAACAGAGTCCCCACTAGGGAGCGTGACACACCGCGACTCACATGAAATGTCGCCACTACCAGCGTGTCGGTGTGATTGGTGGTGCTTGGCCATTGCCCCAGATGCTGCATTTCTCCGGAGGCCGGCCTCGTCCGGTCACTTGTCTGACCTGTCGTCAGACACAGGTCGCTTTGTCCGGTCCGGTTCCGGTCTTCCGTCCGGTCCGGTCCCGGTCTTCTGTCCGGCTCGACTGCCGAAGCGCCCACGGGAGCCCACGGGAGCCCACGGCAACCGCTGGAGAACAAGGCGCGGAAAGTCAAGGCTTGCAGTGATGGGACGGCGCTGGGCTATGCGTGCGGCTATTAGGAGCTTCGCAGCAACTCAAGTGCACGAGGCTGAGGCAATGTTTCAACAACCGTGGTGGGCTGGCAACGGGGCAGTGGCAGGCGCGGCAACGGCCAGTTCCTGCTGAAGGTACTTCTATTCCAAAGTTCGTGTCAATTTTTCGCACGCTTTACATCAACGTCATGTGAATATCTAAAACAGGCGTACAGTTGAACTTTCCTTTCCAGTAGACCTGAGTCGGATGACGATTTACAAGAATGTTTGTAAAATTATCAACACAAAAGAATTGTCCACATACCGCCTTACAATACACCCAATTCGGGTGTTGCTTTAACGATATCGGAAACTGGGACATCACAAGATCAAAATCAAGTAGTTCCATCCATGGTTTGAGCACGTGCTGGAAAATGACTTGCTTAAATTTTTACACTCGTTTTAACCCAGATGTGGCTTACCTATAATAAAAGCCGAGAAATTACACGCCTAGGTACACAGGATCTGAAATACATTAACATATGTATCTCTCTCATGTGTTTGTGCTCTGGCTCAAATTATCTTATTTATGATAAGTCGCACCATCGTCGTGATACCAATGCGCTGACGCTGCTTTACATCTGACCTTTAACGCGCGCCCGGGTGGCCGGTTAGATACTCTCCGCTCGGGTGGGAGGTCAATTTGAGCCCCCTCTGAGATATCAGAAACTAAGAGAGCTAAAAACACTAAATTCGCCGTGTGTGTTAACCTGTACGGGAACTCACCTAGATCAAAGTTTGAGGCTCCTAGACCTTGACATTCGGGTCAAATAAGGTCACACAAGGTCAAAATCCAGGTTGGCCTCCAAAATGTTTCAGAGCCTGGATATCTAATCTCAGCAGGAGGTCACATGCTCATTTAAGGTCAGTGACCTTGTCTGACCTTTCGAAGGTTATGGTGATGAAAATCATACGAGACTGCTTTCAGTTTTGCCATTGGGTAAGCGACAGCGATTACGCTTGGCAGTATGTTCCTTAAACAAAATGTTGACCTGCATCATTTTAGGCCAATGACCCAAGGTGGCCTTTTAGAAACTCATGGAAGATGTATGATGCGGTTCCTGTTACCAATAAATTTGAAATGAGCACCAGAAACTATCCCATACAGCAAGCCCTAGAGGACTAACACAAGTTGGTTTTGACCTTGTTGTGACCTTTATACCTGACCTTAGGTCAATAGAATTTGTTCATTCAATTGTTTTGTTGCCTAGGAAAGTAACTCAGAGATGTATGTCTTTGCCTAACGCACGGTTGTTGCATCGGATTGAACGATTCCCTAGAAATTGACTTTGCAGAATCCATGGCCTGACTATGACCTGTCATAGGTCAGTGACCTTACTAGGCACATCTAAATTTGTTATACCAAACGATCTGGTATTTAATTGTCTACAGTTACAGAAAATTTGGGGCGGCTACGCCATACCGTTCAGAAACTATCACGGAAGAACCTACGGTGGTGTCAGGCTGGCCTCCGTCAGAGCGAGTGTTAACGGATCTTTTTTAAGTTGATCCTGACCCTTTGGATAGATGGATTTCTGGGATCAGCGCTCACGCTAAACAGTGCTTGTTGTATGAGCCCTGAACCCCACCATCCGATCGCACAATTTCAAGAAACGGCAGGATTTAGTGGCGAAAGCTTAACGTGCCGCGATGCTTCGCACGGTCCGTCCTGCCCTCTGACGTCAACTGACCTTTACCGCAACCGCTGTCATCGGCCGCAGGCCATGCCTGTCAACGGCAAATAGCGAGCGTCCTTAAACGACTGGAACCCACCCCACTACGGGTGGGCGGATCGGAATGCAGGCGCTCTAACCGACTGAGCCACCGGGACGGACTAAGCGAGAGCGATCACAACTCGGGCCAGTTGTACGGTGAAACATCGCACCCCCAGCTGTGCAATAGGTGACTTCTCGCGTTGAGATGATGTTTTGACACGGTGACGAATATTCGAAAAAAAGTGCTGCAACAGCACAGGGAAACGCTACCAGCATCACATGTAAGGTTGTTGCCAATAGGTGTGTCTGAGTGCTGCATTATGCTTTTTCGACTTTCTTTCGATGGATGTCTTAAACTACGCCACCGTAGTATGATTATTTACTAAAGTGTAAGTGAGACGGTGTGAAAGTTGGCACAGTAGTATCTAATAATCATTTAGCGATGACCTGCGCGTGCAATCCCGAACAGCATGGACGCATTTATTGCATTTTGAGTACTACACTCGCCTAGGCGTATAGCCTTCCACACTGCATAATTTCGGTATGCCTGCATCTTTCTAGCCTGAGTGAAGCCTAGAATAGCGCGGTTGATTATGTTATAATCATATTAGCAGTACTAATATCTACAGTTATATAACGATTTCCAGGGCCCAATACCGTGCGGACGGCGAAGACTGACCGGAAGTAACGGCCGCGGCGGACGACAGCCAGACGAGATACGAGCCGACGGTTTTCAAGGAAGGCTGTCTGCCGATGGACCCGAGACGCGCAAACATACGGATGAGTGGACGGATGCTGCGTAGATGAGAACATGTATTGGGGCTGGATGGAACTATACACATGGGGATTGCGGTGGGGATGGTCGGGCATGGAGTTGGACGCTAACTTCTAGCATCACCGTCTCCGTAGGGATGTCCCCGCTTCGAGCCCCAACGGAGGCAGGTTAGACTGATAGAAGAAGAGGGATGGTGGCATTAGCTTACCGGGAAGCAGGAAAGCCAACCACGCTCCGAAGCACGAAGCAATCTTTCCGAAAGAGAAACTGTTCCTGTGAAAATTGCTTACTTCCGGGAGCAGGCATCACGTTTACCTATCAATATATGTTAGAACACATTAGTTACCACGTTAGAACCACTCCGCTAGATCAGGCCCAACGCAAACGCTCACGTTAATATTTCAAGATGATCACGTTGCACCGCTGCGCTGCGCAAGACCCATGCTCATGTCGTGCCGACCTGTCTCACCTGTCGTCGACGCGCCAGCTGAGGAGGCTGGCGCCAGGGGTGAGCCCGCCACCGCGTGTCCCCGCCGACCGTCTGCGACCGCGCCAGGACCCGCCGACTGGCCGCGTCGCCCTGAACCGGCCAGAGCCCAGCGCGACCCCCCGCCGCCCCCCGGGGCGGGCCGTGGGGCGGTCAGCGTGCCAACGAACGACACAAAAGTAGCTGCAGCCCAGCCGCCGCCTCCCACGGTGTTTGAATGACAACGACCAGCGCGGCATAACGAGGTGGCTTTTGAGTCCAGCACGCGTTCCTGTCCCCATCAACGCGCTGGTTCGGAAAATGACAGAAATGGAGACAACTGGAGCACACAGCTTGAAGCAAGCAGTCAGTTCAGCCAAAAAACACTTTCGTTAATAATTTTTAACTAAATTTTTCCCACAGGAAAGCACACGTAACGTAAGTCGACTACAGATACCAGGTTGCGGATATTGACAGACGACCGATTTATATCTGTATTTACGCGCAAGTGAACCGCGGCAGACGGATGCTCGAACCGGAGGAAATCTTGCTCGACTCGAAATGCCTGATGGTAATTAAATCGATCTAGTATTGCTTTTATATTTTGCGATGTCTTTTTCTCTTTGTTTGTTATTCACATATGTGCCATGCGTTACAGAAGTATATGCGAGTTATAGCGACCAGCGGTGGTGTGCTCCTTCCTGAATGCACTAAAGCTGTCTCCAGAAACCTGCCCAAAGCTGATGTTTTGATAGCTATGACATCCTCCAATGTTAGCAGCTTTATTGCCATCGCTGGGTAGAGCAGTGAACCATCTAAACCAGAGAACCCATATGACCTTGTTGCCGGGTGCACTAATCATTGCCCCTTAACGCCAAATCAGAACTTGGAATGAGATAGTGAGCTTATTTAAGAGACCATGTTTTATGGGATAAAATCTACGAACCGGTGAAAACATAGACAGTGTTTTTGTTGTGCAACTTGTCAGCTAAGCATTCTTCTCACTACAATTACACAACTGCATCTGCAAATGAATGCCAGAAACAAGATTGCTTTTGTGAAGCAAACGTTCCACTTTGTTGAACTAAATGGTGCAAAAACATTTAAGACAAATCAGCTTTGCTCCAAATAGCATCAGCCAGCTGGTTTTGCACCTCATCTGAAAGCCACGGGCAGCTTATCACATTCCAACGATGTGAGCTAAGTCTCTACAAAATTAATGGTAGACACTAGGATCTAACCGAAGAGTTAACCATCACTCGAACGTATACTGCAGTTCCTGTGCTAGCACATATCACACAATCTTTACACAGCTCCGACGTGCTGTTTTGTCCGCCGCATGGCTCAGTCGGTCAAAGCGTCTGCCTTTAACCATACTCATGAATGGGCGTGCGTTCTCGAGTTGTCTGGGCGCTCGCTCTTTGCTCCTGGCTGAGATGTCCTGCTTGTGGTGGTAGCTGCCGCTCAAGACAGGCAGTTAAGTGCCCTTTCCAGTGTTCCGGTTGACCTGTTTGGCAGTGGTTTGTAACCAAAATGGGCGTATGTACACTACATATATTTCGTCACATTTTGGGTTGATTTTTTGGCGGAGGGAACAGCTCAAGGTAATGACCACTTTTGGGTTTTTCTCACTTCTTTATTTTGTATTCGTTTTCCTTTATTTTGCACACTTTCTTATCTAATCCTCACTGAATACCATGCGACTCATTACAAAGATAGAAGATGTTTACAAACTATTGTAACTAATCCACGCCAAACGCATGGGTTTTTACTATTTGTGCACACATGATATGGGCA